GGGGCCTTAATTCCCCACCCCTGGACTAGAAAGACAACTTTGAGCAGGGGCTTGTGTTTACTTGAACACATTATTTTATGTTTTATTTATTTATTAAATTTCCATATCACCGACCTCGCTGCATCAGGCCAAGTCTTGACACAAAACAGTAACTTTTAAGATCTGGGTGATGCATCTCTTAGTTTGATGATTATGCTTAACAGTGCACCAAAGACAACCTGAAATAATCTTAATTAATAAATTAATACATTTGATTTTCATAGCAAATAGTGAAGTGGTTCCCACACATCCACTAAGCACTAGAGTGCTGAAGCCCCCTGTCTCCTAAGAAAGGACCAAGCAATCTTAGACACGGTTTTAAATCCAGGTGGTCCTTAACGTACAACCACAATGGAGTCTTCCCATTACGGTTGTATGTCACGACAGTGGTAAAGGTCCTGTGACCAACTTGATTTAATAACTTCTTTCTGGCAGGCAGTTGTTAAGCAAATGCTGCAGTCATAAAGCAAATGCCACAGTTGTGGGTGCGATTTTGTTGAACCCTGGAAGTTAAGTGTCGGTTTTTGGAAAAACACTCTAAAACACAGCCGCATTACCGCTCGACATTGCAAATGGGTGTAAATGTGGCTCCATTGAGTGCCCAAAGTTTGATCATGTGACCGCGGACGGAATCTGATCATCTAAAACTTCAAGTAGCAAATTCCTTTTTTCAGGTCAGTGATGACTTCGAAATATCACAGTCATAAGTCAAGGACTGCCTCTATAGTATTTGTGGGTGTAGTGTTGTAACTGCAGTAAGGTTTAATTATTAGTTTAATTTAATCTAATCCTGCACCAGGTAGCACTAATTTCCATCTACCACTTGTCTCGGGGAATAGCTTTGTGCCCCGTTGAAACTCCTGGCTTAAAACCAGCCATCTGATCTAACCACTCCACCTGCTGTTCTCTTTTTCCAGGTAAACGACTTCCTGTCCGGGAGGTCCCCCCTGACCCTTGCCCTGCGGGTGGGCGATCACATGATGTTTGTCCAGCTGCAGCTGGCAGCTCAGCAGAACAGTGGGCAGCTCCAGCACCGCCACGTGATTGCCAGCCGCGGAGAACAAGCTGGAGGCGCCGCAGCCACCACGCCGGTGCCAGCGGCCGGACCAGCTGCCTCCAGTTGCCGCACCCTGCCTGGGAGCACTCCCACCTCCTCCCCTACTTTTGCCCGGCTCCCCACGGCGCCCGCTTGCCCGCCAAGCCCTGTGCCCAGTCCTACTGCTTCTCCGTCGCCAATGCAGAATATGCCTCTCTACTGTACCACCGCTAACCCGACCCCCGTCACGGCAGGGATGTTCCATTCGCACGGGACCAGCACACAGACGGTCAACGGAGGGGGGAGCGGCAGCGTCATGTCTCCGTGTTCAGAGGTCAGTCCTGGGGTGCTTTGCGGGGTGTTGAAATGAATGAGGGTTGAGCATGTGCACAAAAGGCTGAAGCCAGTGGTGTGTGGAATCCTGACCCATGGCAACTTTTAAGGCACCAGACTAGAAACCAGGAGATAAGAGAGTTCTAGTTCAGCCTTGGGCATGAAAATCAAATAGGTGTCTTTGGGCCAATCAGCAGGAGACAGAGAATACTAGTCGAACTTTAGGCCTCAAAACACTCAGGGTGACTTTGGGACAATCACCAGGTGGCTGTGAGTTCTAGTCCTGTCTTAGGCATGGAAGCCAGCTGGATGACTTTAGGCCAGTCACTCACTCTTAGCCCAGCCCACCTCAAGGGAGGGTTGTTGTGGGGAAAATAGGAAGAGGAAGGTGTGCTGGACATGTTTGCCGCCTTGAATTATTTGTAAAAAATAATAAATAAATAAAACAGATCCTTACAAGGGGTAGAATTGGTCATTGGGTCTCCTTCCACCCTCCGGCAAATCAAAAAATAATACTTAACATGCATTGGGAGATTTCTGCTATGAACAATTGAGAGGTGTTGCCTTCTGGATTTTTAAAAAGGCTTAGCATTTTTTTTATCATTAGTTGCTGCAGGGCAGAACAGAGAAGGAACTGGATTTAGGGAGACTTTTCCTGTATTTGTTAGCTTTTTATCTCATGAGAAAGTTGAAGCAGCTAGCTTTATTATTACTATTTAAAAATACGTATATGCTATGCATCTCACTACTAAGTCAGTCTGGGCAGCAAGTTTTCCTCACTCCCTATATTGCATCCCACTGTAGGCCTAGGCATTTTGGTTTTTTATTTGGGTTATTCCTACAAATATTCTCTGGTTCAGAAATCACCTTATAATCCAGGTTCTTTTTGACACACATACTATTTTTTATGACATAATCTGTCTCCTATTGATCCAGAGGGATTCATAGCTGGGCATTGCTCTTTGTAAGTTTGTGTGGTCTATAACCACACAATGCTTGGTGAAGTCTCCCTTTTCAAACCTGGTGCGTTAGAACTGCAGTTCCACCATTCCCAGAATTCCTCAGCCAGCCAGTCGGCCATTTTAGAGGGCTGCCTCAGAATTCTGGGAAATGCAGTCCACCCAATGTATCAGGAAGGCCATCACCAAGTTAGATTGTGTTGGGATGGCCACATTGAGGGTTGTAAACCTCCAAAACTTGTAGGTTTGTAAGAAAGAAGTCTTCCTCCCAATTTATTTATTTATAAAATTTATTTGCCGTCCAGTTTGGGAACGGAGACCTTTCAGATATAAAGGAAAATCGATCTGGAGGGAGAAGGAAAAACCAAGAGTAACCTTTGCTTATAGAAATGTCTTTCTGGCAAGGAACAGGAAAATTAGGTTCCTCTCCAGATGACTCAGCGGAGGGGAGCGTTGTGAAGATGCCGTCAAAGATGAACATCACCAGGTTTCTGGCCCACTGTAACCTCTGTCCAAGGAAGAAGCTTAGAGCTTCAGTTTCTGTTTTTTCAGCTGCCTCCCCAAAAAAAAGCAACCAGGCAATCTGACTGGCTTCAAACTTTTTGGGATCACGACATCTTGATGTGAAAACCTTCTCCAGCCCATCCTTTGTCCCTGCTTAGCATCTGTTCTTTGGCTTTTGCAGGTAGACTGCGCCTCAAGAAGTAAAAGTTCGCCCAGCAGCAGCCCCACTCAGGCCTCTCGGACCCGCAAACACGGCGCTGTGATAGAAAGCTTTGTTAACCACGCCCCTGGGGTTTTTTCGGGAACGTTTTCTGGTACGTCTGCGTTACATTTCTCTGTCTGCCCCATAAGAGGAAATATGGGTGGAAGGTAATACATGCAAGCTTCGGAATCCCACACAGCTTCGATCAGTGTTGCTATGGTGATTTTAAGATGGGTGGACTTCAACTCCCAGAATTCTCCAGTCAGCTTTGCTGGCTGAGGAATTCTGGGAGTTGAAGTCCACCCATCTTAAAATCGCCACAGTTGAGAAAATACTGGATTAGATAAAGAAACCAATGAAATTTCCAATGCTTGTCTGAGTTGATACTCTCCCAGGAAATACAGCAACCATATCTGATGGGTTTATCCTTATTTTAAGCTAAATGTTTTTTGTTTGTTTTTTTGCTTTTCAACCCCCAACTCCCACCAAGGGACTCCTTGTCTGCTGATGCCTGCAGACCTTGTTCAGCTTGTAAAAATGCATCATGTCACGATCACCATTAGTCCTAAGCACTCAATAATCCATCCATGATAAATGCAGTCCCTTACAAGTTTCAAAACTGTCTTTTCATCCTTTCTTTTTTAAAAAAACAACTTTTTTTCTGTAAAGTCTGAATTGTAAGAGAAGTACTTGGCTTAAAAAAGAAAAGAAAAATAGTTGCATGTATTGCCTTCTGCTACAAAAAGTTGAACGAGGGTCAGCACAGTGCAGCCCGTGGGCCAAATCCAACCTGCCATCTGTTTTTATGTGGCTGTGAGCGGGTGGGGGAGGGGACATCATGGTTGAGAATAGCCTATCAGCAGGCTTCTTGTTGGAGGGTTGGTCTTGCCCAAGGACTGCCATGTTCCTTGGCCTGTAGACCTCCTGCCTGTTGTGCTTACAGACATGAAGGAAAGGCAGGATCTGGCTCCTTAAAGAGAATGTTTGCTGATCCTTCCCCTACAGGACTAGCAATTTGGCTTGTTTGGGAAAGCCACGAGAGAGTAAACATTTTGAAAAAGTCTCACTGCAACATATAGCAGTGTTTTTCAACCTTAGGCACTTGAAGGTGGGTGGACTTCAACTCCCAGAATTCCCCAGCCAGCAGAGCTTAAGTGCCTAAGGTTGAAAAACACCACTATAAACCAATACTGCTGGTTTGTTTGTTTTTCCACAATAGATTTTATGCACTGCTACAACCTTTCCTACTTCTCCTTCCACCCTGCAGGCACTTTGCACCCCAACTGCCAAGACAGCAGTGGCCGGCCGCGCCGAGACATCGGCACCATCCTGCAGATCCTCAACGACCTCCTGAGTGCCACGCGGCACTACCAGGGCATGCCCCAGTCGCTGACACAACTGCGGTGCCAGACACAGTGCTCCTTGTCCACCCCTTCCCTGGATCTCAACAACCACACTACCTCAGAAAGAACGGCAGCTGCTGCTAACCAGCCCTTGCACTTGGGGGTCCAGTGCCCAAGCCAAGCAGCCACCTGCAAGCCCACCGGTGAGTTCACAGAGCTGATTTGGGGGTCCTTTCCCTTGCCCTTCCTTTCCCAGTCCTCCAGGAAAGTAGAGAAACCAGCTGTTTTTTTGCAGACTGGCCTCTGAGCAGGACAGAAGGTCCTTCCGGCGGGTGGGGCTTGAAGGGTGGGTCTTATTCTTGAGGGGGAGGGGCTTATTCTTGGGAGGGGCATGTGCAAAGGGGGCAGGATCAGCCTTGGCTTGGGTTTGGGACTGTCCTAATTCTGCAGGAGTTTAGAGGTGTTTTATCAATGGAATATCCAATATGGTTCTTGTTACGGTATAAGTATTCCTCGACTTACGACCATTCATTTTGCGACTGTTACGATAGTACTGAATAAAGTGATTTAAGACAAGTCTTCCTACTTAACAACTGTCACCACATCCCCTGATCACAATTCAGGCAGTGGCCTGGGGTCATGGGATCCCCGTTTATTTATTAAATGTTTATTGCCACTCATCTCACCCTGAAAAGTGTAACTCTGGGTGGTTTATAATTAATATCCCAGCCAATGTTCCTCCAATCAGTGGAGGAAGCCAGATTCACTTTTTTAAAAATGTAAAATTGGGTGTGACTCACTTAACATCTGCCCCACTTAGTGACAGGAGTTCTGGTATCCCAATTATGGTCATAAATTGAGGTTTACCAGTATTATTATTGGTAGTACTATTAAAGTAGTTGGTACTAAGTTGTTGTCATGTAATAAATATTTGGAGAATCGATGAACAATCTGGAACTTCTCAAAGGGGATGAACTTGGGTGCATGTAAGGTTGAAAATAGAGTCTGGAGGAACCCTGGTTTAAAGAGAGGCTGATTGAAGTTGGAACTTTTTGCTTCCAGTCGTGTTACTCCTGCGTTTGGATTTCCAGCATCGTGAAGTCGGGCAGCTGAGATGAATAGACTGCCAAAGAAACTTAAGTTTCTGAATGATTTAATTGGATTCGTATGTTGAATTCCTCAGGCAGAGTAGCATTGGTGCGATTTGTTGTTACTCATCCAGAAAAATTGTCTGAAAGGCGGAAAAAGAGGGCTTCCCTGTATAAGCCAGGGTTACTCCTGATGTGTGATGTGTTTTCCCCCCCTGATTTCTGCTGTTTTAACTGAATCCTTAGCCAAATAAGTTTATGGGTGGGGTGCGGGTAGAAATCTAAAAAAGACCAGGAAGTGCCAGTTATTAGCCAAGCTTACAGGATGCCCTGAAGGAAGAAGGGACTCAATAAACCATAGATTGCTATGATTACCATAATACATTCATGAGGAGGGGGCTGATTGCCTTAGCCATGATGAACATTTGTGAGAATGACAGCAAGCAGTAGATGCACTCTATCTGAAGTGAGCAAACAGGATCCCTGACTATGCAATAGTAGAATATTGCAAATTATATGGGGGTATTCTATTTCAGGCCTTTTTTCGGCTGTAGTTCAAAACATAATGATAAGAGCGATGAGGAGTTATGATTAATTTTTCCCAGAGATACGACCTCATTCTCAGAATCCTTGGACAGGTATTGCATCAGTTCCATTCCTGGAAAATAATAATCGCCTCCGCATGTTATGGTTCTCACAACCAAGTCTTTTTCTCAAGCATGCAATTAGCATCCTTCCTGTCGTGAGTAGGTGTGGCAGGATACAACCCTGTGAGGTAGGATAGTTTGTGATCTAGGCCTCGTGATCTTGGTCTTCTAGATTTGCCTTGTCCTAGCCCTTTGTGTAATGTTTCTCCACTGTAGCAACTTGGAGATGTCTGGACTTCAACTCCCAGAATTCCAGCATGCTGGCTGAGGAATTCTGGGAGTTGAAGTCCAGACATCTCCAAGTTGCTAAGATTGAGAAATATTGTCTTAGTGGGGTCTTGACTGATGAAAAATTGTTCTATTTTGCTTTTAACTATGGGTGTTTTTATGTTTATTTGCTTTATGGGTGTTCTGCCATACATGTCAAGAGTGTTTTGCTTTGGTCCCTACCCCAAATGTCAGCTCCACCCCATAATCTTCTCCAGCCCCAAATGCAACAAAAGAGCGGTGAAATCAAAGCAGACCTACATTTCCTTCGAGATCAGCCCAATAAGTCCTCCTGTTTATTTGATTGGCCTTGGCTGAAGTCCAAAAGCACAGCCTGGGTTGATTAATTCTTGGGAAAGGAGGCCACCAGGAAATTCAAAACTAGATTTCCTGCTGAGAAATGAGGGGGGAAAAAATCTTCCTTTTGTATATCCCTGCTGAGAAAACCGCTAGGATATGTTTGTTCTTGTAATCAGGAATTAAATGTGACTTATATGTGGCATGAACTCTGACATTAAATAAATCCTGGTTTAGAGTAGTGTTTCTCAACTCGATTATCAAATCCCAGAATTCCCCAGCCAGCATGCTGGTTTAGAGCCACACCTGAACTCTGTCTCTGAATTTTTGCAACTATCTAAGGCAGGGGTCCCCAACCACTGGTCTGTGGAACAAGTCCTACCGGGCCGCTGGTTTGCTGGGCGCCGCCATCTTTTTTTGATGAAAGCCATTTCTACCCAGAAAAGCTCACCGGAAGCGCTGGCGCCGCCATCTTTTTTTGATGAAAAAGTGCTTCCGGTGA